TGGGCATCAACTAATGACAGATTTACCTCCTTACCACTTACACTGCGAGGAAAGAGCGCCCCAGACAGATGTTCCCTAATCACCCTCGGTTTCCTGATCTGCAGGACAATGGGGCCTGGGCTGACACTTCTGAGTGTTCCACACCTAACAACCTGTGACTTTTCAAAAAGGAAGTCTGGAAATGTGATCACTCCACTTATTTGCGTGCCTCGGTTGTTTTCAGAGCCCTTTCCTGCACATGATCTCATCTGACTACCGTGACAACCTTAGTGACTCGTTTAATTGGTTCTTTGAAGACTTCTGAGTTTCCAGAGTCAACCAGTTAATAGAAAATACCCCAGGAAGGGACAGCACCTTCAACTTTCATTGGCTCCCATAGCAGGGGTTGGCAGCTAGCTGAGAATTAGGCCCTGAGAAATGAGAAACAGGGTTGGAAGGAACTGGGAGAGGGTCAAAGTGGGGGTGAGGAAGTTCTAACGCCCTCCAGCAGCCCACCTTGCAATTTTGCAGAAAAAGGTAGTGAGCCATGCCCCACCCCCACCTCCAGCAGAGAGACCAACTTTACCCACAAGGGTCAGAGGTGCAGAGGAACAGAAGAAAAAGAGAAGTGACAGGAGAGATGGGGGAAAAGATGGAATAAACCAACCATCAGAGGCTCTTCAATCTTAATTCATTTTATTCTACAAAATGCTACTCAACTGAAAGTGGAAAAGCTAAACAAAACAAAAAAAAAAAAAAGCAAGGGGAAAATTTTTTTTAATGTGTTCTTTCTTCCATAGCAGCAAGCTTTTTCTAGCAAGCTTTCTTTAGTGCAAATACTGTAGGCTTGAATTACATACAGTAAAACAACAAGACAACAACAACAAACACCACCAGAGATGCTTCAGAGCAGAGCTACTCCTCAATTTTCAAAATTATACAGAGATTTTGAGCTCACAGTCCTACCTGGAGGGGTCTATTTAGGAGACTCTCCAGTGGGACCACTTCATCATTACTTAAAAACAGAAAGGTGCCCAGAAAGGTAATTAAATTCCCCATAGAGCTATAGGAACCTGTACAACTTGTTTGCCTCCGGGGTCTCATGGCAGACTTCACTCCACATAATTGACATATCTCAAATACAGATGCACAAAGCTTATGATTTTCCACTATCTACCCAAATACTATATATACATTTCCCACTGCAGAATAGACACCCTGATACCTATTCTTTATACAAAGTCGAACACTTCCTTCCTCAAAATCAAGTAACCACAAACTAAAATAAATGGAATAAACTTTTAATCATAAAGAGAAAATCATTTTTGAGGAATAGAGCAGGATCTTTCATTGTGTTCTTTTACAATGTAGATTTCTTGGTGACCACTGTCCCAGAGGAATGACAATCCATCTTTAAAAACAGAACCTTTTTATACAGTTTTTACAGCACAAGTCACAAATCACTTTAGGAACAAAAAAGTCTCATTATCCTAATTTTCAAAAAAAAAAAAAAGGAAGCAAAAGAGAGAGAGGAACTGAGTATTTTAATGCTATCTGTTTCTAATCTGTTTCTATTCAGGCTTGGTACGACACAAAGATGATGTAAACATTTAAAATAAATAATAAAATAAAAGTCAATTCTTCTCCCCCTCCCCTTCCCACACCCCCCTCAAAATCTGACCCAGCCCCTCTGAGCACGTTGTCAGCACTGGAAAATTAAAACCCTTTGTGGACGTATGGCCCAAACACTAGAAGCACTAAAAGATGCCAAATGACTAGTGGGATGACTGGGTTTGCTTTCAAAAAACTGCAGGAGGACACGGGCACACCTGGAAATGCACACACACACACACACGCACACTCACGCACACATGCCAACCTGTCAATAAATAGTGAGATGCTGGCTTTTAAGATGAATGCCAAGAAGACTCAACAAGCAGAACGTAGCAAGACCCCTTTACTTAAGTTTTAAAAGGAAAGTTATACACACCACATATCCCATTGGTCCGCAAATTGCAGAAGGACTCAGGTTGCCCCTCCAACCATCTGAGGAGTGCACACAGCAGGGTAGGAGCAGGAGACAGTTGAGGTGGCAGGATATCGGCAGGGATGGATCTTTGAGAACAAACAGACTGCAGGCGATCTTACCGTGGGTCTTTGAAGAAAGACCTTCTCGCCTTGAAGTGTTTTCGTTTATCCATTACTTGGGGGCCTTTTTATAAGGGGATGCCCTGATCCCTTAGTCTCATCCTAAAGAGGCTATACATATAAAAGTGCCTAACACAGTGCCTGGCACATAGTAGGTGCTTATTCTTTTCCTTCCTAAAGGGGCCATGCAGATGTCTGATCAGGGAAGGAAACCAACCTGAAAGTTAAATGGCGAGATTTTAAGGAACACTGTTGGTCCATCGGGGAAAAGGAAGGAAAAAGTCCCAGTGTTCCAGACAGTACAACCCCCCCTCATGCCTGGACTCAAGTGGAAGCAGAGGGAGACTCCTTTCCCCAAAGCCTGAGAGAGAAGCAGCCGCCCCCGACGGCCCTTGGCTTTGAGATGCATGTGTGACTAGCCATAGTGGACACCCCCCCCAGTGATTTCTCTGCTTGGAGTTGGCCCTGGCAACTTCCTAAGCTTCACCTAGGATCTCCTCTTTCCTGCATCAGCAGCTGTCCTCGTCCATGAGGCCAGGGAGAGGACTGTTCCCAGAGAGGCCAGCCAGGTGGCCAAGAGGACTGCGTGCTTCCCACTAGCTTCTCAAGAAGTGCCTGCCTTATGCCATCCCAGAGCTGCCTGCAGCCCAGCCAGAGTCCATACCAGCTGCCTCGTGGCCAGGGACACGGGGAAGCACACAGCAGTTCCTAACCCAAGCACAAAGGCTTCCCCACTGCAGCTGTTCCCTTAGCTGGAGCCGTGTAGGAGGAAGCAGGCGGCCAGGTGTCTGGCGCAAGGATGTTTGTGTGTGTGTGAACTTGGACAGCAAGCCAGAAGGAAGTAAACTGAGGATATGCTCATGGATTAGGTGTGAATATTCAGCCTTCCCTGAATAACCTCTGGCTTTGGGGAAGCCAAACAATCTCCCAGGACAAAGCCAGGTCTCAAAAAGGAACACAGCTCAAAGGCCTCTTAAAGTCCCGGGGGTTGGCTGGGTTTTTGCCTTCTGCTTGTCCCAACGCCAATACCGAGTGAAATCTGAACTGAAGCCAAACTCCGTCTCAGGAATGTCCAGCCCGGCCCCAAGTCATAGACTGTGACCTGCATTGGGATCCATGCTGTGCAAAGTGTGGCATAAGGGGGCTTTGAGAAATAAAAGACCAGAAACCAGCTTCATTAAAGAAATATCTATATGCATAAAGAAACAAATAGCTCCCACTTGGCTACAAATACCACTTGAGATGATTAAGCTTTTCTGAGCTGAGTGCACCCGTTTTCTTTGCAAATCTCCCGCTACTCCTGGCTAATTCTGCTTCTTAAACTGAAGCCAGAAACTCAATTGCCCGATCTTCTTAGGAGCACCTCTCCAAGAGCCCCTGGGGAACCGGGAAGCCAGCATTATAGCCAAAGAATGTGGGAAATAACATTTTTAAAGGTTTTTTGAACAAAATCTTTTTCTTTTAATCTCCTCTGTCTGTGTGGCCTATCCTGGTATACGTTACTTCCAGTCCTACCGGGCTGTTTAAGCACAGTCTGTTTCATTCTGAGTGTCTAGTACATGTCAGTGTGTAACGGACATTAAATAATAACCAGCACGTGTGGTCTTGGTGTGTGAAGGAACAGATGTGTGTCACTACTCTCTCCAGAGTCGAACTTGGAAATTTATCATTTAAAATGAGCACACAATGATCTCTAGAGCTGAATCACCAATAGTGGAGTCTCCCTCAGAGTACTATCTCAGCAGAGGCCAGGTGTGACCAGAGCTGCTCCCAGGACACCCTACCAAGGCCCTACTTGACAGAAAGCTCAGAAGGAGCTGGGCCCTGGGGAGAAAGGGCACAGAGGGTGAGAGACATGGACTCCACTGAGCTGTGTTCTTGCTGGAGGCCAGAATGACCCCTTCTCCACCCCCCACCTCCGTGGGAAGGGGACAGCTCTGTGCAGGGGGAAGCAACACATCCTAGCTCTGATTTCAGCAGCCGGAAGGATCTGACCGACAACCAGGAATGGCGCGTAAGCCACAGCCACAGCTCAGCCGGCTGTTCACAGCTTGCTGACCCGGCCAGAAGAACACACCAGGGTGGGGGCAGGGGAGTGGACAAGAGAAAGCACTTGATGCATCGGGTGGCAGATGACCACAGAGCGCAGGAAAGGCCCAGCGCCTCACTGAGAAGCAAGCAGCCCGGGAGGGCAGGCAGGCTCAGGGGCGGCGGCTGCCGCTGCAAACACCAGCCAGTGACTGCCTCCCCCTCCCTCTCCTGCCTTCCCATCCACATCCACTGCAGATGCTCCTCTGAGGCGTGGGGAGGGGCCACCTGGCAGCAAGCTGGGGAGGGTCCAGGCTCACGCTCATTAAATCACGGTGGGTGGCGTCACTCTGAGAGCCAGGTGGGGGAAGGGTGGAGCCCAACCAGGACATGGAGTGATGTGTGGTTCCTAGGGAGAGACGCCTCTCTGGTCTGGAGAGAAGGGTCCAGGGGCAGAATGGCAAGGCAGTAATTACAGGAGACGCCCTGCTCAAGACACTGGCTGAAGGGAAGCTGGGTAGGACACCTGTGTGGCTTTGTTGGCACTATTTCTGGCCTGGTAATTAGGCGTTTGGCAAACCCATCCTGTGCCCCGGCTGTCTCACTCACACCCTGTCTTCTGGCCAAGCCGCTCCTCCAAAAGCCGTCTCCAAGGGTGGGGAGGAAGGGTCCTCTGAGCCTCCAGTGAAGGTAGCATCTCCTCGAGAGCTCAGGAGGCCCTGCTGGTAGTTCTGGAGATGGTGGTGCACTGGGGAGCGGAAGGGTAGGGAAGGTTCTGTATTGCACTCTGACTGTCCCCTTCTGGACAAGTCAGCCCCAGCAGAAGAGTCATCTGCTGCCCCATCTCCAGAAATGAAGAGCTTTAATATTCAGGCCACCCAGATGAAATGTCATGGCAAATCTGCTAAAAACCAAGAGGGATCGAAATTGACACTCGGGGAGGGACGGGGCAAGTCGAGAGAAGGTGAAACCAAAAGGCACTGAGCATGCTTGGTGGGGTGGGGAAGGACACCATCACTCCAGAGACAATATCGTAATAAGGGGACAGGAACGGTCCAGGTCAGCTTCAGGCTCTTCAGAAGCCAGAGAGATGTCCAAGTCCACCAAACCAAGTACTCCAAGGCTTTTCAAGAAACAGGATTTGCTTGCAAGATGAATGAGGGAGTTTCCGTGGCTTCCAAGAGATCAGCCCAAGTTCCACCTGGGTCCGCCAGAGCCAGGAAGCTCGCTGGCAGGGTGTCCCTCTTGCCTTGTGGTCCTGGAGTGCTTGAAGGTGCTGGTCCCTGGGAAGGAGGCAGTGCCGAGGGCCTCCTCCAGAGCTGGGAGGAGAGGTGCTCTGGGTTACAGAGCCAGCAGAGTGGGGGAGTTCAAAGAGTCTGATGACTGGTCTCCACTGCTACTGCTTCTGCGGTGAGCCTTGGAGCAGGACTCGGAGGGTGATGCAGGCGACTCCTGCTCCAGGACACTGGGATAGGTGAAGACGAGGTTCGAGGTGCCCGGAGTGATGGCAGGCGTGGAGGTCACCACGATGGGGGTGTGCAGGGGCTCCTCCCCATAGAAGCCCCCAGCAATGCTGATGGGCTTGATGACGGAGCGCTGGGCCTTGTCCAGCCCTGCCGATGAGGATGAGGGGCTGTCCTCTTCCAGGGGCTCCTGTTTCACGACCACGGCACCCACCAGGCCACCCCCACTGCGCATGGGCTGCAGCCCAGGAGCTGGAGGCGATCGGCGCTCCTCGGGGCTGATCTTGCACACGGGGCCGTGGGCCACCAACATGAACTCCAGCTTCTCCTTCTCCTTCTGCAGCTCAGCAATCTCTTTCTGCAGCCCTGACTTCTCCTCTTCCAGCTCCTCTGTCTCCTGCAGGAAAAAGAGAGGGATGTGAGGGGCAGCTACCTCCCAGGGACCTGGTGGCAGGGCAGTTCCAACCCAGATTAGAAAGAGAAAACCAGCCATGTCCTTGGGTAACTGTGAGAGCAGCCAGCTCACACACGTGGTCACAGACCCCACTCGTTCTGGGTCACCTGGAGTCTCAAGATTCCTTTTATTTGGAGGAACATCAGCTTGGAGGAGGGGTGAAATAACAATTGTAGCTCACATAACTGAGGGCTTACTTTGTGCCAGACACTGTGTTAAGCATTTCATAGATTATCTCATCAATCCTCCAACAGTTTTTGAAAACAGATGTTATCATCAACCCATTTTGCAGATGAGGAAAGAGAGGTTCAGAGAGGTTTAGTAATTTGCCCAAAGTTACAGAGCTGGCAGGTAGGGTGGCCCAGACTTGAACCCCAATGTATTTGACTCCAGAGTCCATGTGCTACTCTGCTCTACTGCCTCGGTGCCTGGACTGCCCCTGGGGGCCCCTGAGGGGGTGAGTAATAGAGATGTGCACAGAGGAGGGAGAACAGAACACAGCTCCACCCAATACCCCTTCTCTGCCTCCTCAGCCCCAGGCTGGCCCATGGGTGGACACATGAACACTGAACCCCAAGCTGCATGAGAGTGAAGACTTTGTCGTGTGTGGTCCTGTATCCCCAGGGCCTAGGACAGTGCCTGGCTTGTGATAAGTGCCCATCCGACCCTGCTGGATCACCCCAGCCCCCCCCTCCCTTTTTGTGCTCCAGTTTCTGAAGCGTGTGTTTCTGGACTCCCAGAGACCTCGGAGAACATTCAGTTCAGCCACTGTGCTTGACAGAGGAGGAACCTAACAGCCTGAGAGGATGCCAGGGTCACCCTGCAAGGTCCTCAGCCCCCTCATCTCACAAGAAGCCAAAGAAGCAGCAGTGTGCAAATGCACGTGGAGGGAGCAGCCGTGGGAGAGGAAAAGGTGTGTGTCACCAGCCTCCCCCGCCCCTTTTTTCCCTAACACGGATTCCCGTTCACAAATGAGGAGATACGGGCAAGAACTTCATCAAGCAGAGTACAGCATATTCCGGAGTGAAAAAAAGTTTCCATCTGTCTCAAGGGTCTGACGAACGTCATGAGCTTACCAGAGGCTTCCTGTGGAGGATGTGGCTCAGGGACCTGGGTGGCTGGGGCAGGGGCGGGGGTGGTGGGGGAGTAGGGTGTGTGGCTCCTGGGAGGAGGGGAGGAAAGTCGAAGGACCTCGGAGGGGCGGGCTGTCCTGGGCTGGTGGCAAGGAGTGCCCAGGTAGGCTCCTCGAAGTGCCAGACCAGGGAAAGGTCAGCAGTGGCAAGGGCTCTCTCTGTGGAGTGGAGCGCTGAGCACATGTGGATCTGCCTCACTCGGGGATGGAGAACTGCCCCCATCCTCCCTGGCTCACACCTCCATGGCGGTGGTTATTACTGGCATCACAGAATTCATGCAGTGCACATGCAACACCCAAGAGTGAAGGCTGCAGGATGGACAAGGGAAACTGAAGCAGGTGGATGGTACCTGGGAGCATTAAATAAAGTGATGGGATATTTTCCAAAGCCCCATCTTGGCCCGTCATTGTGAGGATCACCAACAGTTTCTCATCTCCTCACTTGGAAAACATTCCACCCCAGAGAGTTGGCCCTGGCTTTGGGCTTCCTCCACAAGGCACAGGGCCCTTCCTGGAGGGAGTTACGTGAAGTTGGTCAGATCACGCTTACGAGAGGGAAGGGCAGGCCCGTGGGCCCCCAGGTCTGGGCAATTAGGCAGCATGAGAGAGTGACTCACAAGGGCAGATGAGGTACCAAGCGGCTCCAGGCTCATGATAGAGGGAACTCTCCTGCCCATGAAGGATGTGAGAAAACCTCAAGAAAATACAACTCAGCTGGCACGTGACCCATGTCAATCAGGAACCCAACCCCCACCCAAACCAGAATGATTAAGCCAGGCTGGGGTACTCCTGCTGGCAGTAGGCATGGAGGCAGCTGGAACCCTGGGAAGTAGCCCTGGAGGGGGCAGGTATGGACCTGCCCTGGCTCCCAGGGACTGGCAATACCAACACCCTCTGCCATCTCTCACCCAGGAGCCCCAGCAAGTCTGAAAGCAGGGAACACACAGGCACTGAGTAAAAAAAGGTGCTATGCCCAAGAAGGGTGCCCAGCTCTCTCTGGGCCCAGGCTGGTGCCAAAGGCCAGCTCCCTCCCTCTCTCTCTTTTTTCCAATCAGCATAGTGCTGACCAGTGCGCTAGAAAGAAGGAATGTTCTATCTCCGCTGACTCATCTGTGGGGCACTGTGAGCAAGGAGAGGGCTGGGAGGGCCAGGAGCCCTGGGGCTCTCGCTCCGGCCCACCCAGAAGTGCTCCCCCCACGCAGAGCTCCTCACCGCCTGCAGCTTCTCCGTCAGCTCCCGGCGTCGGTTCCGGCACTTGGCTGCAGCCAGCTTGTTCCTCTCCCTCCGGATTCGACGCTTCTCTTCCTCTTCAGGAGACAGCTAGAGGCCAAGGTCAAGGATCATGATTAAAAGGGGGTAAATCGTTCTCGGCGTTTTTTAAAAGATGTATTTTTAAGTAAAGCAAGAAGCGCTTCTGGAGGGAGAAGGAAGGAGGGCAAAAGGAGAGTGGCCTGGCCAGGGGTCCCAGGACATGCAGCTCTCTACTGTTGGGCTGCCTAGGAGGGCACTTTGAGCTCAATCTGCCCTGGAAGGTGATGTCCCATGTTTAAAGAGAGAACAGGGCAGCAATGGGCCAGAGACTCACTGGCCCAGGCATGATGACAACATTTGTCATATCAGCCCTTATTCAGCACCCAGGCCAGAAAGCAGCAGCTGGAATGCTTCCCCAAGACAGTCCCCTCCCGCCAGCCAGGCCCGGCCCCACCCACCTCCAAACCGTGGCTAATTACTCCTCCCCATCACTCTGCCTGCTATGCAAGCCTCATTATCCCCATTTGGTTAAGTAGTTGGGCCTGGAGTCCCCACACAGGTAAGAACCACCCTGGGTATGTTCTGTTGCCAGCAAGAGGGCCAAGGGTGCCACTCCACTCCCCATTTCCTCTGCCAACCCTGGAATGCCAGCTGCTCACAATTCACCCCAAGAACTCCCCAGTGTGCCTGGCACAGTACTAGGCAATCTTGCTGCCCACTATATCCACTCATTCAACAAATGAACACCTTCTATGTGCCAGACACCATTCTAGAGGCTTGAGACTATCTGTGAACCAAAGAAAGAAAGATCCACCTGCAAAGGGCATATGATCTAGCTCCTTACAATGCAGAGGTCAGGGACTCATAACTCATACCAGAGGGCAAGAACTCTGCTCCACTAAGCAGGGTCACTGCTCTGTGTACATACAGCCCTTCCAGAGCTGTGACCTCAATGCCCCTCTCAGAAAGAGGTGACACAGGAGATGGCTGTGGGCCAAAGCAGAAAGCAATGCAAAAGTAAAGACCATCCCACTCAGCTGTCAGACATTGACTGAACACCTACTATGTGTCCAATGCTACACGGGGACTTAGAAGGTTCCTGCCCTCGAGGACACCTGGGGTAAAAGCTGAAGCCACTTTTGGGGGAAGGGAGAGAAGCTGCTCCATAGAGGGAAGTTGCCTCAACTGCTGGCCACCCTATTGAGGGAGAGTCACTCTCCTGCCCGGGCCCAGGTCAGAGTCCCAGGATGTTCCCTGCAGCCCTGGAGGTCTGTTGCTGTGATGCCCTAAACAGCAAAGCAGGGCACAGCATCAGAGAGGACAATTCCATGCCTGTCTACACTGAGGTGACCCCATAGACCAGCTGAGTTCATGAAGCTAGTTGAATACTTGCTGTTCCTAAAGCCCAAAAGAGCTTGACCTGAGCCCAACAGAGTTACCAAGAGCATCTATGGCCCTGCTGCAGTCGGAGTGTAGGCTTCCCCTAAGGCCCAGCAAGCCCCCAGATCCCTCATTGATTTGGGACAGAAAAGAGAGAGGGCTGGCTTTGATCCATTCAAACCTCCCTGCTACCTTGGCTGTTTTGGACAACTTTTGGCCTCCTGATTGGCCTAGAAGTCTCTCCCCTATCTGGTGAGCTATGGGGCAACTTATGAACTCTGTTGACATAGGAAGTGTTCAGGGGTGGTGAGATCAACAAGGTGACAGCTTGAGTATGTCAGCACCCCATGTACCACCCACAAGCCACACACACCCTCCCTGCTGGCCGCCTCACAGTCACTGCCCCTGGGCTCACAGGGAGCCTCCAGGCAGGGCCAGAGGAGGTATGAAAAACTAAGGCTGGCTCCTTGTAACAGGCTCCTCCTCCAGGGGGAGGTTGGGGAAGGTGGAAGTCAGCTTCAGAGGAAAGACCCTAGGGCTAGGAATCCAAATGGCCGAGGCTCTAGGACGCTACTGCCCAGGTTTCCTCAAAGCTGCAGGACGACTGTCTGAACTCCTAACTGATATGAGATAAAATGCTCCTTGTTCTCTCCCTCCCTCTCAAAAAAGGAAGGAAATTCTCCAGACAGATTGTCTTAGGGCACGCCTAGGTGGTGTGGTGGGAAAAGTACAGGGCTGAATGTCAAAAGAGGTGTTTCCCCCTCCTGGCTGTGCTACTAACTTCACTGTGAATCTGGACAGGACCCTTCCTTCTGGGCCTCAATTCCTTTATCCATAAAATGGGCACAGAGGGAAAATTAGAAAAGATGGTTTCCAAAGTCCCTTCCAGATAGGAACTTTGAAATCTGGTGTGAGGTAGGCCCAGAGAAAGTAACGAATGTTCAGCACATCTTGCTTTGTCATCCTGTTAGCCCAAAAGAGTCCCTCCCAAGCCTGGCTCTCACTCAGGGGTCACTTCCATCCTGGGACAATATTCATCAGTGACTACAAAGCTCTGTACCTTGGATTCCCTGGAGGAAGCATATTTATAAAGAACATTATGATCACTGCTACTGCAATATTTACAATTGCAATTATGGAAAGCAACCGTGAGCGTAATATTGGCCACTTGCCCCAACAGAAGCCCAACATGCAACTGTGAGCTCTGTCTATGAGTGTCCATTAAACAGACCTCCCCACGTGGCCCTGCACAAACAGTCCCACCACTAACCAACCAACGTGTAGTGGACGCAAGGCCCAGCTTTGTCCTCAGAGGAGCAGGGCTCCTGAGAGAGCTTCCAGTTCCTTGGAGTGTTGATCCCCTATCCTGGGGACAACTGGCACCAGAGCCACCACTATCTACATTGTCCACAAAACCATGTTTTAAAGCTCCTCATATTGGAACGTGGACCCTGGGGGTCCCAGAGTGGAGATGGGCAACAGTTGAAATGGGGAGGAGATCCAATATAGTAACTGGAGTTCCCCAGGATAACATCTCATTTGAAACAGGGACTCCACTGCTAACGTATTTTCCCTTGCCTGGGCTCTTGGTGGCATGCCTTGTAGAAAGAGCACTGCACAGGGAGTCCAGGGAACTGGGTTCTAGTCCAGACTTTCCCATTCACTTGCCAAGTCACCCCAGCAGGTATGTCTGGGCCTTGGCTGTATCATCTGTGAAGGCAGACAGATGAGGCTCTTTTAAGGCCTCATTCTCTGCTTCCTGGAATTAGGCATGATTGTGATCTCTCTCTCTGGGACCAGGGTCAGCGCTGCCTTGGCTCACTATTAATATAGGCAATGGGTCTTTTGTAAATTGGGTAGATGCTGCCTAAATAGCAGAGGCCTCACCATTTTCTGGCTCCCCTCCCAGCCAGGTGAACTGCCTCTCAAAGATGAGCCCCTTGAGGAAAGAAAGGCACAGATCTACCTTCCTCTCGACCTCCCCCGTCAGCTAAAGCTGCTGAACAGACTAAGGCCCAGAGTCACTGCACTTCTGGAACACATATTCTAGGCCAGTGAGATGGGCTCCTGCTTCGAGTTGGAAGCCTGGGGCACTGAGGAGGCACAGAAGGTCATGTGGGCAGTATCGGCCTAGAGTCTGACCCTTTAGGTCTGCTGGGTGCCTGGCCTGCACCAGCCCGTGGGAGACAGCTAAGGGCTAATCCAAAAAAGCTCACAGCCGGGGTTCATTGGCTGCTTGTCCTGGGAGCAGAGAAGGACACTGCTGTCAGCAGGTCCCAACAGTGCTTCCCACTGGCTAACACCTCACCAATCACACGTGCTTTCCCACACACGATCTCACTGGAGCAGCAGCAAGTCCTGGCTGGCAGGGCCATTATCCTCATTTTGTGGCTGAGAAAACTGACACTCAGAAGTTCTAAGGGATATAGGAGAAAGAGAGCCAGGCCTGACTCTTGGGTCTCTAGCACTGCCTCTAATGAGGAGGAGGATGTGCTCCTCGTCCCCAGCTCCCTCATCTCCCCAGCACTCCCAGAACACTAACCCTGCTCCCCACCCATCTGCAGATCAACATCCTGTGCTTATGAGGCCCCCAAAGTCCCTGATGTGGCCCCTTTCTGCTGGTCTGAGTTGTACCTGCTCATCTCTCCTCCTGCGGCCCACTGTGGTGCCAATGGTCTTGATCACGCCAGGTCTCGGGAGTGCCATGTGCCCAGGGACAGAGGCCAAGCCCGGCAGAGGGCTGTAGGGGTGCGAGCGGGGGTATGGGTTGGACATGGAGGTGATCACCGTGGGCTGCACCATCCACTGCAGGTCCTGGCTGGTCGTGATTGCGTTGATGGTAGGGATAAAGGCACTGCCTGAGCCAGGCATATCTACCCGGAATTTCTGAAATGAGGAGAAAAATACAATCAAGCCGATAAATACAGAGCAGAACAACACAAACAGAGCCAAGAGGCAAAAACCAGCAGAGAGCAGGGGACTGAGAACTCTATCCCCAGGTGGTTCAGTGAGGACACTCTCATATCCCAAGTGACTTGTAGGAGAGACTAGTCCCTGGCTGCTCACACTCAGCAGGCCTTCCCTTAGGCCCTTCAGAATGCGCATCCACAGGATGGGGCACCTGGAGCTCCCAAGCCTCTGAGTCACCTGCCAATCATTCCCCAGGGTACTGGCTCAGGACACCCTGAAGAAATTTGCAAACCAGCAGCTTTGGAGCAACAAAGACCACCAAGAAGCATATTGGGTCTGCTTTTGTCACTTTCCAAAGAGCTTCAGGATGAGGCTATGACCCCATCAGAGCAAGGCCAGGTCCATGGAAAGGTGTCCTCCAACCTCTGAGATGGAAAAAGTGGTGGCATTTGCAGCCAGATTTCCCCTTGCCGTCCTTTTCCCTCCTCCTCTCCCTTCACCAGCATCTTAATTGGGGCAGACGTGTGTCCATCTCTCTACCTATCTACATACCTATCTGTGTTCACAAATGTGTCTGTGGGAAATTCTGGTGCTGCTAGTTCAGAGTTCTCTCTCCATCTCTTAATTTGTGCCTAGGCCATGCTGCAGAGCTCTCTGGAACATTCTATTAAAAATATAAGACAACGACAGACTACAAAAACTAAAATGGGCTGTGCTTCTCAGCAGTTGGACTTGACCTTTCTCCAAGGGAAGGTCCTCCCACTTCCAGCTTTTCAAGGGAAACCCCCCCCTAACAGAACGCAGGTGAACCCTCATCCTCAGATAATTGCTATATATCTACAAATGCTCTCCAAAAAGTTTCTTCCCTAACCAGGTGGATGACACAACAACAGTAATAATAGCTTAACATTCACTGAGTGCTTACTAAATGACAGACACATTAGTATCTCACCTAGATGATCTCATTAATCCTCCCTCTGAGGTAAGAACGACCATTATCTCCAATGCAGAGGCAGAAATTTAGTCTTAGAGGGAACAAGTAATTTATCAAGGCCACATTGCTAATAAGCGGTGGGGTTAGGATCCAAACCCAGTTCAGCCTGACAAAGAGGCCAAAGCTCTCAAACACGGTGCCACCCAAGCTTCTTAGCATTGCTTCTCTCTTCCTTGAAATCTGGCTCCCAGTTCTGGTATCCACCCCCACTGCGCTCAGAGCCTTGGGTCATCCCTGCCAAGGGTCCCCACAGACATTCCCTCTCACAGTTCTGTTTGCCCCAATTGAAATCCCACTATGACTAGCGTGGATGCTATATTATCCCCCTATCCTGGTCCGATCAGACCAACCAGGATTAGAAGCATTAGCAGCAATGGCAGCTGCCACCACCACCATCTTTGCCTATGGTGACAACCTCTGGGTTCCTGCTGTGTAAATAAAATGAAGCTTAGCTCGCTGTAACTGACAGAGCTGGAGACCTTTCCTAGCCCAGCCCCCTGCCACCCGCCTGGTCCCAGTCTGGGTGGTGGAATGTGGCTACTTCACCTCCCAGACTGCCCCGGGGCCCCAAGCCAAGGGCATTCAGTAAAGAAAGCTGCTCAGCTTAATGGATTCTGGGATCTCGTGAGGAAAGTTACCCAGTGCAGTGGATTCTGGGGTTCCGTGAGGAATGCTACCCAGTGCGGTGGATTCTGGGGTTGCGTGAGGAATGCTACCCAATGCAGTGGATTCTGGGGCTCCGTGAGGAATGCTACCCAGTGCAGTGGATTCTGGGGTTCCGTGAGGAATGCTACCCAGTGCAGTAGATTCTGGGATTCTGTGAGGGGAGCTGCCCAGAGCAATGGATTCAAAGTTGCGCATCTGAAGGCAAAGACACCTGGGCTTATCAGGAGCTGACGGAAAAGAAGCAGGTGTGTATGGGTGGGTGTGAAGGAGGGATGGCAGCAGCCAACAAGGAAGGATCTGAGCAGGAACTGATCTTCAAGGAAGAAAACGGGGCTGGGCTGTGAGGGGACACAGCATGTGAGAAGCGCAGGCAGAAGTCCCAGATGGTGGGTTGGCTGGGGCTGCGGGGTGGGAGGGCGGCGAGCGGGCCCTGAGGCTTGGCCCACCCTGAGTGCTCTGCCCTGGGCAAATCTCTGAGGACTCAATCCCGTGGATGGAAGGGGATGCGAACACCAAACTCCCCGTCTGTCATGAGGATTAAATAAGAAGCTACTTATGATCACAGGCTATAAGCACACTGTGGTTCTCAACCCTGGCTGCTCAAGAACATTCTGAGGAGCTTGTAAAAAATACCAATGTTGGAGCCTCGCCATTAGAGTTCTAAAATAATTGGTTTGCAGTGGGGATCTGATAAAAGTATTTTTTAAAACTCTCAAGGAGATTCTAACATGCAGCCAGGGTTGAGAAACACTGCCCCAAACAAATGGGAGCTGGTGTCGTCATCACCACTGCCATCATCACCATGTGTCTGTACTCTGTGCAGGGTGGCTCCAGGGAGAATTGTCAGTTTCCCACTCCTGGGAAGCACCCAATTTTTAATTCCATTTCTCTCCCCAAGTCAGATTGTAGGTTTGAAGAATACCCGAGGCATCCAGTACAATGGTTTAATGGGACCCCCACCTCCATGGGGGAGCTGTCAGCCTTTCTTTCAGGAAAGCACCCAAGAAATTCACTCCTCCTTCCAGCAAACAAAAGTGCTCCAGTGTTTAGGCCAGGGAAAGCAAGCAAAAAACCTGAAGCAAAGCTTGGAGACTAAGATCCCTCAGGAATAAGTGGATCCCTCTCAGCCCCTTTAGGGTCCTCCAGTCCACCTGCTCTGCGGATGGCAGGTCTACAGAATATGTTCTCCAGTATACATCAGCCAGATTCCTTGCAGCAATGGCTTGGTCTAGACAAAACAAGACGGTAATAAAAACCAGGCAGGAGGTAATGACTGCCTCTGTAACGCATGCACACCTTGTTTCAGACAGGAGGTAAAGCCATCTGGATAATACACTGGCTGCAAACTGCAAGGAAAACAATGTCCCATCCCCAGAGGGGACTGGGACTCTGATAAAAAAGGCTTTTGTCTCCAAGAGCAGCCTCTCTGGGAGACACACAAAAGTTTCAGTTAGATCTGGAAGATGCATCTTGTCTCAACTCCAAACATGTTATTCAGAAAGCAACACTGGGATAGGAGAGAAGAGGAGTTTGTGGTCCCAGAAGTTAGCCTGCATTCTTTTAGGCCAACAGACCCAAGAATTAGCCAAATGTCACACTGGGCATAAATCATGGTTTTCTAAGAACAAGTTAACAATAAGCAGAAACCAAGATAGAGTTTCCCAGCTTCAGGCATTCAGGAAGTTGTAGCCTTGCTGCAGTACCAGGTGTGTATTGGGAGTGAGGGGATGGAGAGAGGTAACCCAGGACCCCTCTTCGGCCCCCTAGGAAGCTTCTCTAGGACAGGATTGAAGATGCTGGATGGCTGGGTGGCATTCCAGTCTGGCAAAACTTCTAAATACTTTATTTAACTGTGTCACCCTATCAACTTCTGGATGGGCATGAATGCCTATAAAAGGACAAAGTGGTCCTATCGACCTCCTTGAGCAGAGTTTAGCAAACTTTTGCTGTAAAGGGCCAAATAGCAAATATTTTAGGCTTTGTGGGCCATATGGTCTCTGTTGCTACTCAACTCTGCCACTGCAGTGTGAAAGCAGCCATAGATGATATGTAAACAAATAGGTATGTCTGTGTTCCATTAAACTTACTTACAAAGATACTCAGGCCACTGTTTGCTGACTCCTGCCTAGAGGATCATTCTCATCACCTATGCTCAGGTTGGAAGGAAAAGAACAGAGAGAAATGAGAGAGCAAAAAATCAGAACTGAGATATTCCTCTCATCCAGGGAGCCAAGAGGATGGGCTTTCAGTCCTGGGCTTGAATCTCTAGACCCTGAGCCGAAGTTCATGCCCTTACAAGCCCTGTTGTGGGTCTTTGGGCATGGACACCTCCATTACCCTGCAGCACCCTGTGCCAAGGGTGCCATGGTCTGCTCAGTATGAGTGCTCCTCCCACTGCCAGTAAGAAAGACGGCTGGGAACACAGGGCCTCTAGGGCCACCCAACTTCAGCAGGTCAAGGAAGTCCCTCAACCCAGCAGTTGCTGATTTGGGAAAATAGCCTTTTGGGACTCTACAGCAGGGCCTTGAATTCAGAAATAAGGGTCACACCTATAGCTTTTTGCTAACGAGTCTCAGAACTAGGGTTTGGACACCCATTTCCCACAGGCCTGGACAGGGCAGAAGGCTTATCCCAGAGACTCCTGAGCTGGATAAATTCGAGATGGAAGTCAGGGGTGGTGTTCTTGGTCCATCCCCTCAGCTAGGTATTTCTCCATCAGAGTAATTCTTGTCTGACCCACCAAGCATTCAAACCACGAACCCCTGTGGACTCTCTGACCTGCCTCATGGCAGGCAGGTATGATCGTGTATGTCTAGGAAGGGTCTGGATTTTTTTCTGCTAGGAGCCCCTTTTTTAGATTCCTAAGAATCTAAATGGAAAATTCCAACATCCCAGATTTGCTCAGGGTAAGAGAAAAGGGTAAGTGCAAATGCTCCCTCTTACTTTCCATGATATCCCCATTGAGGTACAGTTTGATACAACTGCTGTATACTTTTACTGAGCTCAGGATGGTCTCCAAAGTCTTCTATATGGAATTCGCCAGTCTTCACAGATTCTGCATTGGATATCACTTTGACCTCTGACTTTTCATTTCTCTCTGAGGAAATGCCACTTATGTCACAATGGAAATTACTGCTAATAACTCATGATTTCCTAGAGTTTTACAGTACACAAATGTATCTCAGGTGACTCGTCTCTCGTCAGCCTCTTCTCCATCCCAGCTTCACTTGAAAGAACCACTCTGTCCTCCTCCACCTCACTGCCAGGGTGAAGAAAAGCAGGGAGGAAAAGAAAAGGCAAGGAAAAGAAGACAGTG